TTTTGATGAATCCTGAACATTATCATAATTTTTCTTTTCTTCCTGTTGATTGGGGCAGGAGAGGTTGCCAATCTTTCTATGCTGGAGTGTGATGAGGGGATAGGGTAGAGTATGGTTTCTAAGAGTAAAAGAGGTCTAGTATAAATACTGAACTTGTTGTGAACCATCCAGTCAAAACCAACCCATCGCTGACCCTCCAGAGGGTTTTCTGAAGGAGTAAACAACACAGGAGTTGATTGCCTATCTTTCTCCTGCCTACATCACTGTTGTTTGTTAAGTTCCATCAAGTCGTTGCAACTCATAGCAACCCTATAAATGGAAGTCCTCAACACTTGTGTGACTTTCATCCTTTCTTTAGGTTCATAGGGTTTCCAGAGGCAAGCTATGACAGAAGTGGATGCCAATCCTGCTTCCAAGCTTGTTTGTTTTTTGTTCTTTTAAAAATTTTATTAATTTTAATGAACATTTAAAGAGATTTTGGATTTCCATTCATTCATTGTTGCACTATCTTCTCTACCCCCCCAGTTCATTCCTCTCTTTTTTCCCCCCCTTGAAAGTCTGTTTTAATAGTCCCATTGCCACAGTGCTTGTCAAAACCAGTTCTGATTAATCTCCTTTGTCAGTGTGTCCTTTGCCATTCCCTATCACTCCTCCCTGAGAGAGATTTCACCCTGATTCATAAGTAAAAGGGGATGGGGTATTATCTTAGCTACTTCCTGCTGAAAAGGGATGCTGTAGGTTTCAGGGTGAAGATCTTCTCTCCCTACTCTAAAGGGCCCTTTTGGCAGTAGGAAACTCGTAGACTATTGTGAGATTGATTTTGGAATTTAGATGCACTGTCATCAATTGTGCTTAGCTGTACATGTTCATATCCTTGAAGATGTATCATGGAAGTGTTGCAGCCTAGAAGACACAAATTTAACTAACAAATTAAAAGTACATGAGTCAAAAATTAAAAGCAATAATATTCCAAGTAGAGGTTCTAACAGCAGCACAAATCAAGTTACAGAGGTTCTTAAAATAAAAGGCTTATTGACTAGTACTTTGTTTATTATAGTAAAAAGGTTAGGAACCACCGTTTCAGAGGCTCAACTATGTCATTTATTGTTCTTAAGCCTTGGACCAAATTCCATCTACCACTGGGTTGTTTTACAGCTCGGAAGTCCACATGCAAGGCAGAGGTGAAGTAAGGAAGTGCTTATGAGGTTTTCCGTCAATTCCAACAACTAAGAAATAGTGAGAAGAGTTGTTTTAATCACTTCCAACAACTAAGAAATAGTGAGAAGAGTTGTTTTAATCACTAGAGTTCCCTAAATCATGAACTAGAGGGGTGAAATGAGGCTGACTGGATTACACTGATTGAACTCAACTCATCAGAAGGAGAAATTCACCAAGGATATGTCCCCACAGTGAAATCAGCCTGAGAAGAGTTCCACATTCAGGGACCTATTGACACCTGACAAGGAGCTCTGGGGGCCTGGCCTGCAGGGAGCTGAGCTTCTAGTCCTAAGCCTTCATCTCTATGGGGATTTGAATCTACCATTGGCTCCTCAGGAGAAAGATGGGCAGTCAGCCTCTTCCTGTGCAATTTACATCCTCAGAAACCCAATGGGAGGGTCAGCTATGAGTTAGGGCTGAGTGAACAGCAGTGAATTTGGAATGACACCTGGTCAGAGAGTCAGGAATTTGGGATCTAAGACACATAAATATCTCCTTCTGTGAGAAACAATATGATCAGTTACGTCTTGGCCAACTAGAAAGTTGCTGAAATTCAGAAAGCTAGAGAGAAGAGATACTGAGAGCAGAGATGAGCACATTGCTTTAATGGTGCCTTCTGTACATTGAAGTCAGCAAAGAGTTGAGGACCATGTGAATACGCCATAGGATCAAATCATGGCATCTCTATGACGTATGTTCGTACCAAGTAGCCAGGATATACAGGGGGTATTGTCTTCCTTTTTCGTGGCTTTTTTGATGGATTAATAATTGATTTCTTAATTTCTTTAGGGACACAGCAAACTTTCCTTTCTCCGCAAAGTTCCTTCTCCTTCTCGAGTCTCTTACAAGTTTTCCGGCATCTGCCAATTCTATTAAAGCACCTTGTAAGCCACATGTCTGTCAAGATAAGCAAATAAATAAACAAACAAATGAACGAAATAATAAAGATTTCAATGCAAAGGCCCTTCATTTCTTGGGGAAAAGTAACAATACCACAGAGTGAGTGGCTTTCCAGAACAAAAATGTATTGCCTCAAATCTATGAAAGCTAAAAAGTCTGAATTCAGAGTATGAGCAAGGCTCTATTCTTTCTGTTTACCACAGGGAAAGATCCTCTCCAGCTTATTTCTGTTTAATTTTAATTCATGGAACTGCCTGGCATTCGTTAGCTTGTACATGGATTCTTAAATGGTGCTTTCCCCTCAACTGTATGACTCAATTATCTTCTTTCTTCTATTGCATGACACCATACAGAAGACTTTAGGACACATCCTACTTGGGTTAAGACCTTGTTAACAAAATAGGACTGACATGGGGGTTGGAAAATAATAAGGAAAAAGGGGATAAGTAATGAACACTGCATTGGAACAGATGAAGGAAAGAATTGTTTAAAAGGAGTATATGATTAGGCATTATTTGAATGATAACAGTCCACAATAAGAGGTGCATAGCAAAGCAAACTGGGAGAAGAGTAGGGAGGGGGAGGAAATTATGCAACAATGAATGATTGTTTTTTTTTTAAAGTCAACTGGGAAAGGGGGAAGGGAGGAAAATGTGCAATTATGAATGAATGAAAATCTGACTTTTCTGTAAACTTTCATTACAATCACAATAAAAAATGAAAATTAACTAAATGTGGTCAAATTGACAACGTCACCTCCAAAAATTAGACAAGAACCTTGGGAACCAGTGAATTTATGCTGATTCAGAGAAAGAACTCAGAAAATGGAGGTGAGAGTGGTTATACAATGTCAACTATGACACACACGGAAACTGTTCAGTTGGTGTATGTTTTGCTGTGTATATTCTCGATAACCACAAAATAAATGAATTATAGTGAAAATTTAAAAAGCCTTTGTTATTGTAACTGATAACACCTGTAGAGTATAAAACTATTTCCTCAAGGAAGGTCACATTAAAGTGTCTGGGGGTAGAGTTTAAAAGTAATTTCGGAGGCAACAGTTCGATCCACAAGACTAAAGACTCTTGGGTGAAGAGTGTTGGCAATAATAGTTGGAGTGAAATTTTCTCCTGGAACTCAAGCATTCTTAAATCAATCTATATGTGTAAGATTCCTACGTTCGTTTTCTTTAAGTACTGGTCTTAACATGCTGTTATGTGACGTCGAATTGTAACTGACCCATTGCTAACCCTCCAGTGGGTTCTCAGAGGCGGTAAATAGCCTGGGAAGACACTGCCCATCTCTCTCCCTTGGAGAAGCTGGTGGACTTGAGCCATTGACTTTTGCTTTGACAGCACAATTACTCACCACTATGCTACCAGAGCTGCCTGGTCTTAACACATAGTAGATACTAATAGTTATCTGCTTCCTCCAAACAGTTAATTAAGATTTAGAAGTTGTGATAAATTCACACAATGGAATACTACGCAGCACAAAGGATCAATAATTTTGTAAATTACTATCTAACTTGAGAGGGAATGGAGGACACTATGCAGAGTGAACGCATAAGGACAAATACTGTAAAAGAAGGTTCTAGTAGAATGAGTAAGAGGACCCAAGGAGGGGAAGGCTGGAAGCAGAGAGGTGAGGAGTATGTGTGTGTGTGTGATGGTTTTAATCACAGAGCCACACAATTTGATGGAGAGGGAAGGAAATGGAAAAAATCTTGTGTGAAAAACAATGTATTCGAACTTTGTAAAGAAAGCAGTATAAAATTTGTAAAAGTAATTAAAAAGAGAGTGTTGACACATTTCAATGATGTAACCAGAGTCATGGAAAAATGTGTAAAGAGACTGTCCATGGGGGAACTTACCTTGCTGTGTAAATTTCACTGAAAACGAAACAGAATATTTTTTAAAGGACAAGTCATAGAAATCTTAAAATGATCACACCTCCAAACTTACCTACTGAGAAATTAGCCTCAATGTTTTCTATTCATCGAGGTCATAGTGACTATTTTCTCCCAATATTCCCAGAGTCACTATGATGACTCTTTCTTCACAATCTGTACATTATCAAGTCACTTCTCACACCTCCAACTCTTTCCTACAGAGCCACCAGTGGATCTGAACTCAACTGTGCATTAGAGGCTACACAACCAGGGCTCCTTCACAATACCTGCCACCTTTCTCACACCCTCCTCCATTCCAGCTACTGTTAGTGCATGTTGAAACCTTCTTAAAATTCACCAAGAATTCCCTTCTTGCTCCTAGAATGACAATTGAATATTTGGCAAGGACTTTTAGCTTGATAAATGAGGGCCCAATGCAGATGTCTTGCAATAGCAATAGCAATAGCAATAACAATAGCTCTGAAAAAGAAATCATGGGATGAAAAAAACATAATAAACTTTAAAACATTCTAGATATCTCAAACGAAAATATTTCCATGAGAAAGCTAGTTGGTACCTAACACTAAAGAGTGTTGTTTTTTTATGAAAGAACCAATCATCTGCCTTGGCCCAGTTCTAAACCCTGGACCTATTTCTCCCCATACCTGAACACCATCTGCAAACTGTTGACTCTATTTTCTTTTTTTTGACTCTATTTTCTAATGCAAGAGAAAGATGCTTCCTCTGATTTCTCAAAGAGAGGATCCAGAGCCTAATAACAACAGGGAGGTGAAATACTAGACTGCTTCCCACAGAAGTGATATAAACAAGAAGTGGGAAGGAAGTGAGAGATGACTGAAATACAGTCGTGCTGACGGGTGGGATAAAGGACACAAGAGATGCTGCAGTTGTTTCTGTCCCTGGAAGGAACTCCGTACAAGGCATCAGCCTTAACTGCTATTCCCTAGACTCTCTAAGAAGAAGCACCATCATGACTGTGGTAATATTTTGCCCTTACTCTGAAGGTGAGAAGACTTTTCCCCAGATTTAAGCCATCACTGTGCTACTCTCACTCCCAGGCACGCTCAGTTCCTAGTAATACTGAAAACAGAGCCTCCTTCATTTTTGCTCCCTTGTCCCTCCTCTCTACATTTCTGGTTACCTGAAAAAGTCTGAGCCAGGACCACCATGACAGACAAAATCAGGAACAGGATTTTAAGGTCTCCTAAAAGTGGTGAGGAACAGGCTGGTGGCATGTTGAAAGACAGAGAAAGTGGCTCTGCTCTCTTGCTATTGTTGATCTTAAGCAGGGCTGAGTCAGAGATAACAAATCAGACAGGGCACAATGTTACACTAACCAGAACACCAGCCCATAGGACAACAGTGTGAGCCAATCACCCAGTTCAGAGCACTGCTGGAGACAGTCTCTGTGGAGGTGGAGGCTTTAGCGTTGGAGATGCAAATCTTACACAGGTGTGGGTGCTGTGGAGAGAATGAACCCACCACCCAGGAAGTCCTTCCTCCTGCTCTCCTTGGATCATTCAACCCCCTCACCTATGTTTTCACATGTCTCTCATCCTTCTCTCCATCTTAATGTTTACCATGATGTTTCTGGACTAAGTGTCTTTTCAAGTTCAACCTCTCAGCTCTCCTGCACCCCACCAAATTAACAACATTAAGGACAACTGTTAGCAGCCTAGGTGGGGCTCAGGACATCTGTTTTGTCTTTGGGATCTGGGAATGACCTTTTCCAGAACAACAGTGAACAAGAGAACCATCTAACCAACTTCACTGTCAACAATAATACTAAGTACTTGATGTACAAGACCTCATCAACTTCTCACTAATCCTTGATAAACCCTATAGCCCTTCAGCTCATAGCTACCCTCCATTGGGTTTCTGAGGCTACAATCTTGATGGACAGAGATGCCATATTTCTCCTGCAGTGACTGTTGCATTCAAACTAACGACCTTAGGGTTAGCAGCACAATTCATTACAAACCATGTTACCAGGGCTCTTTAAGACCCCTGATGTTGTGTGGTATGTAATTCAGAGTTGGAACTGACTCATAGGTGCTCCTCCAGCAGATTTTCAGAGGCACCAAATAGCAGAACTTTGCTTGTTGAAAAGTAGGAGGGCTTGAAGCATTTGCTGCAGAAGATCAAGGACAATAGTCTTCAGTATGGATTACAACTCAACCTTAAGAAAACAAGTCTTCATCTCTAGACCAATAAACAGTGTTGTGATAGATGGAGAAAAATATTGAAGTTGTCAACGATTTCATCTTGCTTGGATCCTCAATAAATGGTATCAGCAGTCAAGGAATCTAAAGACACGTTGCATTGGGAAAAATCAGCTGTTAGAGACCTATCTAGTATGCAAAAGAGCAACAAGGTCAGCTTAAAGACTAAGGTGAGCCTGATCCAAGCCATGACCTTCTCAATTGCTTGCTATGCATCTGGACAATGACTAAGGATGACTGATGAATCTCTGCCTTTGAGTTATGGTGTTGGAGAAGAGTGCTGAATATTCCGTGGATTGTCAAGAGAACGGACATCTGTCTTGGAGAAAGTGTAACCGAGTGCTCCTTGGAAGCAAGGATGGTGAATCCTCATCTCACATACTTTGGACATGTTGTTAGAAGAGCCAGTCCTTGGAGGACATCATGCTTGAAAATGTGAAGAGTCAGCGTAAGAGAGGAAGACCTTCAACAAGATGGATTGACACAGTGACTGTAGCAATGTGCTCAAGTGTGTGGGAGATGGTGACGGTGGCACAGATAGGGCAGGTCTCAAGTCTGTTGTTCCTAGGGTCACTGTGTGCTACACTCAACTCGATGTCGCATAACAACAACAACAAATTGCATGAAAAGGGGGTGCAATGGGGGTGTGGAGATTGAGCAGTTGGTGGTTTTGAACTCCTTACCCCTAAGCCACTTTCATGAAAATTTACAGAGACTTTGTATTTCCATTCATTCATTGTACTTTTCTCCCCGTGCAACCTCCCTGCACATGGCAGTTCACTCTGCTCTTTGAAAAGTAAAAGAAAAATGCTTTCATTTTTTACAATCCCTCCCCCCAGGTCCACTCCACTGTGCAGCCTTCGTTCTGGACTCCAGTCATGACAATACCTAATCACATATCCCTTTTAAACAGTTATATCCCTCATTTGTTTCAATGCAGTGTACATCATTTTCCCATTTTACTCAGTCTACCCCCCAGCCCCACTGTCAGTTCTGTTTTACAAAATAGTAATATGCAGGATTTGCCCTTTTGTGACTGAGATATTTCACTCAGCATAAGGTCCTCCAAGGTCACCCATTTTTTATAGTATTTCATGAGTTCCTCATTTTTCAATGCAGCATAGTATTCCATTGTGTGAATATAACGCAGCTTCTCTATCCATTCGTTGGTTGATGGACACTTAGGTTGTTTCCAACTCTTTTCTATTATGAACAAAGCCACGATAAACATCGGTATGCATATACCTGCTTGGGTGGTGGTTATGGTTTCTTTGGGGTATATTACCAGTAGTGGAATTGCTGGCTCAACTAGTATCTCTATTTGCAACTTTTTGAGAAAGCACCATACTGCTGCCTTCCGTAGTGGGTGCACCATTTTACGCTCCCACCAGCAGTAATAAGGGTTCCAGTTTCTCCACAACCTTGCCAACATTTGTTGGTTGCTATTCTGTTATATGTTGCTATTCTTACTGAAGTGAGATGATATCTCATAGTTGTTTTGATTTACCTCTCTCCTAGAGCTAGGGATTTTGAACATTTCTTCATGTGTTTGTTTGCCATCTGTATGTCTTGTTTGGTGCCTGTTCATATTCTGTGACCATTTTTCATTTGGGTTATTTACCTTTATCTTGTTGTGGTGCTCAAGTATTTCATAAATTCTGGATATAAGTCCCTTATCTGACATGACATTACCAAATTTTTTTTTTCAGTCTTTGGCTTTCCTTGTTACGCCATTGGAGAAGTTTTTGGATGTATATAGGTATTTACATGTCGAGGACTTTTGTTCATAGGGCCGCTATGAGTCGCCTACGACTCAACGACACTTTAACAACAGAGAGAGAGACCAGTTAGCCTTGTGGACTGAAAGCGATGCTACCAAGCCAAAGGTGGGTGACTCTAATCCGCAACCCTCAGGACTGTTTTTCTTTGTTTTTATACAAACAGTCTTCTAGGTCATATAGCACCAGTGTGTCCACTTGCTGTACAGAGGTAACTTGTGGTAACTGTGAAGCTGAACATTGTGACACTGGTGTGTCAAATGCAATAATGGTTACCCATGGTGGACAGCATTTGGTGGCGCTCCCCAGTTGAAACAATCGTGGAAGCTGGAGTGGCATCCACTTCTGTAAATAGCTTGCCTCCAGAAACCCTATGAACCTGGAGAAAGGACGAAAGTCATGCACGTGAGCGTCGAGGGCTTGGAGGTACTCAACAACAACAACATAGGGATTTGATTCTTAGAAGATCCCATTAATCTATTTTATCCTCCCCTGATGGTAGATTTTTAAGGTTGCTTGGAAGACTGTTTATTCTTCTATGTTTTAATCCTTCCACTAGTACTACATAGTCTTGTTTACTAGAGTTAGGTATTAAGTCTTTAAATTGAGTAAATTATTTAGTACCACTTTACTTTTACTTGTCTCAATTATTTTAGCTACTATAATTGTTTTATAATTTCTTTACAAATTTAAAATATTTATGTCTATATTGATGAGAAATCTTTCTAATATTTAAACAGAAATAACATTAAAGATATATTAATTTATGAATAATTAAAATCTTTACAATACATTTCAACTTATATGCCCTTTCATTAACATCACGAGGCAGAAGTTTACCAAAGATCACACCAAAATTACATCAGGCACATATTAACTGAGAGTTGCTAGAGGTTCAAACTCAATTTAGAAGAAGATATCAAATGATGGGTATCAGCTGGATTTTGTCAAAAGAAACACTATCAGAAGAATGTTTACTCATGTTTTATTGACTCTTGACTGCGTAACGGCATTCAGCTGTGTGGATCATAACAAGTTATGGATAAAACGATGAAGGATGGGCATTCTAGAGTGATTCATTGTGTTCATGCAGAATTGTACATGTCTCCAGAGGCAGGACAAGGGCAATAATGCATGCCTTGATGCTAGGAAAAGGGTGAGGTGGTTATATCTCTTTACGTTAGTTAAATAATCTACATAATGAACAAATAATTAAAGATTATTTAAATTATTATTTTTGTGTGAGTGTACCATCAAATCAGATCTGACTGGTACAGGAAGAGATTGTCCCTCCTTCCCCGGCAGAGCATCTGGTGGATTCAAACCGTGCATCTCTGGGATGACACAATGTCTTGAGTAGTCTTTTTTCTTTTCCCTTTATACATAGATAGAAAGAGTGTGCAAGTGAAGCCATCTGTCACCCAGCAATTCTGCCCGGCCCTGTGCCTATTAATTTCTAGCCTGCTAACCTGTGGGATAATACATTTCTCAGAGTAAAAAAAGAAATTCTACTGAAGCTATCCGCTTGGGTATTTCTGTTACAGCAACACTAGATAGGATGAGTCACAAGGCAATTATTTGAGCTCACTTATTTGTTTACCCCTGAACCGTGTTCTTTCTTCCATTTTTAACTACTCTGTGGGAAGAATCATTAATGACAAAATTAATTAAGTCTATATTGTCACTGAGTCTATGTGAACTACTGTTGATCCAACTGTTACAGAGTTCTTGGTTGCAATCTTGACAGAAGCAATTCATCAGACTTTTCTTTCATTACACTCCCGGGTGGGTCCAAACAATTGACTTTTAGGTTCATTTTCATGCATGACCGATGATATTTCTGCAAAATCTTTTTATAATCATGAATGTGGTCCCTTCCACCTACCCATTTCTGTTCATCTTTCCTCACTGAGACTGTATTTCTCAGGTACCTCCTGTGTCTTCCTTTTCCTTTTCGTACTATGCTAATCATCCCCAAGCAGTTTCACTTTTTATTTGCCATTTTTCCTGTTTCAGCGACTTTAGATAAGTTATAGTTGTTGTCATTGTTTGTGGTTAGGTGCCATGGAGTAAACTATAATTCCTAGAGACTCTGTGAACAACAGATGGGAACTTTGCTTTATCCCGTGCAATCCCCACCCTCTCTGATGTGCACAAGACCATCGCTACAGCACTGTGTCCAGCTATCATGCTGAAAGTCTTCCTTTCTCTTTCTTTGACCCTCCACTTTCCCCACCCTCAGGTCCTTCCCAAGCACTGACAACATACCCAGAGTATGTGAGACAAAATGTCATAATCCTTGCCGATAAGGAGTACTCTGGTTGCACTTCCTCCAAGATAGGCATGTTTGTCCTTCTGGCTGTCCGTAAGATATTCAATACTCTTCTTCAACACCTCAGTTCAAAGGCATCAATTCTTCCGTCATCGTTATTCATTATCCAGCTTTCAGGTGCATAGGAAGTAATTGAAAAGACCAAGGCTTGGAGGAGGCCTACCCTAGTCCTTCAACTGACATCATTTGTTCTTAAGCCTTTTGTAGAGATCCTTCAACAGCAGATTTTCCCAATGCAACATGTCTTTTGATTTCCTGACTGCTGTTACCATGGGTGTTGCTTGTGGATCTAAGTAAGATGAAATTGTTGACAACCTCAATCTTTTCCAGAAAGATAGTAGCTGCCAACTTTTTCATTAATAAAATGAGTTACTAGAGTCTCTAGAGTTAACAAGTGATCTGCTTGTTTGTTCCCCACAGCTGGCTGGGAAGTCCAAAGATGCTGGAAGAATGACGTAGGACACTGTAGAAAAAAATGTCGCTGAGATGAGAGATACAAGCTTTTTTGCAAGAACAAGCAAACATGCTGCATTCCCTTGAAGGAACAAATATTCACTTCAGGGCAGCCAATTGATAATGTTGAGATAGAAGAATCAGCAACTTTGGATCCTTTTGCACTTCCCACCATGAAGGACTATGTTACTTTTCTATTTCCAGATGCACCACTATATATAAAACCCAAGTCAACTTCTCCTTCAAAAACCACACCATATTCTCCTGAGACAGCTACCATCCTCAGTTAATGCATGTTTCCTCATAGAGATACCATTTGGAATGTAATTCAGTGAGTTAATCTCCCCAATGCAACTTTGTTGGAAGCAATTCCATCAGACGTTGGAAGGTCACAAGGGTAGCCTTAATTGTATTAGATGAGAAATGTTGAAATTGTATTACATGAGAAATGTAGGGAGAAAAATGTAGAAGAGGTATAGAGGCCATGAGGCTTAACTTCTCTGCCTGTTTTTCTTTAGTTTATTAAAATAAATGAGCTAGTTTTCTGTCTCAAGTGAGTGTTATTTGTGTCTATTTTTCCATATAAAATTATTATTTGAAAGTGTCTGTTATGCTCAAGACAAGTGATTTTGTTTTAACAATCCGTGATCCAACAGATTCATATAAACAAGAATATATTTAGTGATATTGTTAGATACTGCTGTGTCAACTCCAACTCACAGAGAGCAACCTTATTTACAACAGAGGAAAGCCTGATTGATGGAGTTGATCCTGCCCATCTTCACAATCTCTGCTGAGCTGAGGCTCATTGCTGCAGTTGCTGTGTCAATCCATCTCTTTGAGAGTCTCCTCTCCTTCACTGGCCCTGTCCTTTTACAAGCATGATGTCATTCTCCAAGTACTGGTCCCTGATGATAACATGCATAAAATGTGTGAGAAGTCTCACCATCCTTGCCTAAGGAATATTCTAAAGGCACTTTCTCCCTGACAGGTTTGTTTTTTCTTTTGGTGGTGTGTGGCATGTTCAATATTCTTCTCCAACATCACAATTCAAAGGCATTAATTCTAGTGCAACAATGAATGAATGGAAACCCAAAATCTCTGTAAATGTTTATGAAAATTAATAAAATATAATTATAGAAAAAAAGACATTAATTCTTCACTGACTTTCTCTATTCGTTGTCCAACTCTCACATGCATATGAAGCAGAGAATACTTGGGTCGGTGCACTTGAACATGAGAAAACCCTCAACTGTTTAGAATGTCACAGTGACTGCAACCACAGACTTAAAGTACAGGGAAGATGATAAGAATAGTGCAGGATTGGCCAGGTTTTGATCTGTTGTACACAGATTCACTGTGAGCCAAAGTCCAGTCAACATAATACTGAAGACCGTGGCCTAACTGAATTGACACATATTTTGGTAGAACACAATCCAAACCATGATACTGAGCATTCTGAAAACATTATACATGCTGCCCTCAAAACTCATTGGAAAAGACCTTACCAAATTATATGAAACTATAAGGTATTGAATAATTAGATTACATTTCCCAAGTAAAACTAGTCCCACTTGACTTTTGGCCTACTAAAACAACTCATTGCTGTGGAGTCACAACCAACTCATAGTTGACCTTCCAGAGGGTTTTCAGAGGCTGTAGGGAGCTCTGGCAGCCTTGTGGCAAGAAGCTGTGCTGCAGTCCTGAAGGTCCATGGTTCGAGGCCACCAGCTTCTCCAAAGGAGAAGGATGCGCAATCTCCTCCCATGCAATAAACCAACTGCCTCTGAAAACCCACTGGAAGGTCAGCTATGTGTTGGTTCTGGCTCTAAAGTACACAACAACTACAAATAGCACACGAGGAGATTGCCCAACTTTCTTGCTCAGAGTTTGGGTCAATAGTGCAACTCTTTGTCCATGAGGCCACCAGAGCTCCCTGAGTCTTGGTATTGTCACACAGCTTGGGGGAGAGTGGAACATAATCTAACTAACAAGAGACGTTGCAGTTGTCACAAGGTTTATAGATTCCCTAACATCGTGAGTCAAGAACCTAATGGATTTTCTTTTCATTTACCCTAATATGAAAAGAAAACTATCTTCTTTCATCTCTCAGGTCATTGTAAGAAAGGGTAATCTCACCAATTGCTGGATTTTTTTCATTAGGTTCCTCGTTGTCTTTATGACTCCTGAGACTCACCAGCCCTTCATAAAGCATGCTTTTTATTGAAAAAAAAAAAAAGATTTCCCAGTGCTCTTACAGATGGCAACAGGACAATTACTTCAGTGGTCACTAGGGTTCAACTCTTAGACACCATTCATGCCATCCTTAAATATTTTGGTTTCTGTTGTCTGGAGGAAAAATCAGCATTAAAACCTCAGTACCTCGAGTCAGCGCCCAAAGCCATCAGGGGCTTTAAGCTCGTTGTCCACTGCTGTGGTGTGGACAGCTGAAACACAGGCCCTGACAGGCACCTGGGGGGGAAAAAGACCCAGACTCTACTTCATGCTCTGTTGGAGAAGGAGGGGCAGTCTCCTGTACCAGTCAGATCCAATTTGGCGGTACACACACACACACACACACACACTTTTTTTTCTTCTTTTTTAAAAAAAGACTACTTCAGCCGTCGCGGCCCTCTGCCCG